TGGCCCAAGACACACCCATCATTTTCTTTGCCTGGCACCGCACCACGCTGAGATATGTGTTGCAGGCTTTGACCACTGATCTCTGTGGCTATGATGCACATTTTCGCTAAAATAAATGTTTACATATATTTTTTAAATGTATTTATTATACAAATGTTTACAGCATTGGAAAATATAATGAATGCAAGTCTGACCTCCTGCACACCATATTAAAATAAACAAACCAAAAAACAGAAAGTAAGAACTGAGCCAAACCAGACTAGCAGCTTTTTTAACTACATAAAACATTATAAAACAGGCCAAACATGTCACTTACTCTGAGATGTGAAGGCTGTTGTCTTTTCCCTCCTCCACTGACACCTGAACAGTGCTCTTCACATGCTCGGCAGCCAAAAGCGCTCCTGTATAACCAGATATAATTATGTCAACTTGAGATCAACAGATGTGTAATTAAAGGCCAGTTTACATGTTTTCTGTTTTCACTGAGTAATCATTAAAAAGTCCTCAAAACTTACAGAATTAAACTGGAAGAGGAAAACTACCATCTGTCTCTGAGACATTATCTTTACATTCCTGGTACAGTTACACCTAATTATGCGTAACAACAGCAGCTAGTATGTTTCAGTGTCATCTCTACATAGCAGAGATTTTTCATGATGCTTACGAAGGTGTTCTACTTTTTCAGTAAAAGTCACAGTTTCAAGCAAACAAAACAATAAGAAGGATACCTCAAATATGCAGAGAAGTACAGTCTCTGTTTTTTGAAAGCTATATGCTGTTTGTTAAAATGCTAAATTGTTTTATTTTATGTATTTATTAGTTTGTAAACATTATTCCACACCCAATCAAAAACCACAAAGACCTGGCCTTATTTAAATTTTTCAGACATTTGATAATGGCATTTCACTGGTCGCCTAAATTAAGGTTTCTTTGCTCTGCAATACTTTTGTCAGTATCAATTAAGTCAGCAGACACTCAAAACGTGGCCCATAACGAGCCATCAAGAACTAGACTGATAATAAATTAGACTGAAGCTAAAATGATCTAAAAACCAACCAGGGGTGTGGTTACAGAGTTAGGAGGTCTGAGGGGTCTGAATCAAAACTGTCCTGCTCTTGAGAAACAAGTGGGGTCCCATGCAGAACCGCAAGCAAAGCACAGAAAAAGCTTTTAAATTAGGTTTATTTTTTACGCAAGCATATTGAATTCACCAAAGAAAAAACAGATCTGACAGCTTATAAGATCTTTTGTCATAATTACGAGATTGGTATCTATGGTGAATGCAATACGCTTCCGTAACTTGTCATGTTCATAAATAAAATAAAGCTTTCACAAATCAGAAACTGTAACTGAATTTATGTACAGCCTCAGGACAAGATTTGAGACCAAGTTCGAAGGATCTAAATATTGTGGTTTTTGATTAGGACCTGGTGTGGTCTATATCCTGGAAAAGCCATAGAATGAGGCTACCTGTCAATTTCATGAATAATATAAAGCTTTTACAAATCATGACCTGTGTTTGCATACATATATTCACATACATACACAAATATATATATATATATATATATATATATATATATATATATATATATATATATATACATACACATACATATATACATACACATACATATATACATATAGTCACTAAAGAACATTTGAACGCAGGTTTTAATAGTTAACGTCAGGCACGTGCAGAGGGGGGGGCTAAGGGGGCTTGAGCACCTGCCCCTTTTGCTCCATGATCCCAATGTGCCCTTTTGGCCCCTTTTTTTTTTTTTTTTTTTTTTTTTTTTTTATTTGACACATATACTGAAATTATTATTATTATCTTTTTTTTTTTGGCGAGAAAAACAATACAATAAGCCCTCTGGTCACATTGTTACCTTTGACCTTTTGCCGGTGACGACACACTTGCCTCTCGCACAGTCAGATAAGGTGACTAACTGCGGAGCTAAAGGTAGCGAATATTCCACATTACACTGTGGCCGCTGCTCATTTGGCCCTAAGCAAGATCAACCATGATCGGACGGATGGCTATGTCTTCAGTCTGCACCGCCTCTCCAATGTCAACCTGAATAGACATGTAAGTGAAACCAAATGAGCCCCATGGATGATGCAGTATTGTTTGATCTAAAACACTGTTTACTCTGTGCTTTTAGTCTTTTACATTGAAAATTATGTTTTTTAATTCACAAAAAACTGTTCTGTAATGATTACAGAACAGTTTTTTATGAATTAAAAAACATAATTTTTGGTGAAAATACTGGAGTAGGCTTGCCACTTGTCAGACAACGGAAAACTTTGAACGTTGTATAATTTCTCTACTTTAGCAAAGAGTAGCGGTTTAAACGGAGGAAAGTATAGGACGCGACGCGCCTTTCCCTGAAGAACTACTGAGCGGGAGGAGACAGCAAGGTGAGGAAAAGCTGTTCTTATCTATCGATTCAGTATTTTTATCATACAGACATTAGGCTGTTGTTCTTGTGCTATGAGCTAGCTGCTAGCTAATGACTTTGCTAGCAAAGCAAGATAACTAAAAAGCTTCCCTGTGTCGTTAATGATAGTAGGACATTCTTCAGTATTACTTATGCAATAGGGGCACATCGCCCGTCAAAAACCTATCATCTCCATAATGGATATATGTCTGATTTTCTAATTTCCTTTGCTGCATGATGTACATTTCATTTATTCTAGCGTTAGGTAAATGTATCTTAAAGGAGAACTCATCCAAAACTACCATGATAGATATATGATAGATATAATGTATGAAGCTGGTGAAAACAAAACTGCGCAGCTTATGCAAGGAGGATCGGTTGTCAGACCTTCTTTTGTTGGCAATCGAGAAGGATGTGCCAATCATTCACAGTGAGGTTATTAACATTTTTAAAGACATGGCTAACAGAAAACTGCTGCTGTGAACAAAAGAGAACAAAAATAGCAAAAATACTTAAACGTTGGAAATTTGTTTTTAAACAGTTAAATCACTATGACGGAAAATAAGTTTTTGCATCATAATCTTGGATTTAGTTTGGGGGAAAAAGAAAGGCAAGAGACTGAAATAAATAAGACATTGACCTTCACTCAACACAGAAAAGATGAGACAATGAGGAAAAAAAGAAAAGAGCAACTGACAAGAAAAAACGAAGAGGAAAGATTGAAGAAAATGTATATAGGTACTTACAAAATACACTAAGACACAAACAGAGTAGGCTTTTCTCATGGTGACATGCATTAATAAAATGTTTGTTTTGTTCTTTTTTTTCTGCAGTTCTAGTTAAAGTTTGATGCAGCAGCTCTGCTTTTCTGAATGGACTGTCTCCATCTCCACTGTCAGTACAGCAAACCAGGCAGACATTCTTTTTTATAGATTACAGTACACTAAAAGGTTGCATTGTGCCCTTGTATGCATTTTTAACAGTTTAATTCTGTAAAGACAAAATATGTCTGGTGGTCCAGCTCTGATTTACATCTTTGGCTAAATTGCAGGTTTGAATATTGTAATACTTTCCTATAACAAAATAGACCTGCAGAAAGAAATTACTAATAAAATATTTTACATATGCATAGTTCTATGTTCTTTGTAGATATTTCCCTTAGCTTTGATTGTATGTCTCACAATTTTGTAATTTATCATTGTTCATTAAACTCTGAAAGCTATGTGACTTTGTTAATATTCTGTCCTAAAACGCGATAAGATGTGCCCTTTTTTTTTTTTGAGCACCTGCCCCTTTAGTGGTCTCTGCACGGCCCTGGTTAACGTGTTGTAGCTTTAAACAGGACCTCCTTACATGTTTCAGCCTGCTTGCATCAGCCTGCTGTATTCACTCTGAGGCTCCAGGGGGCGCTATTTCACCTGTTGTCCTTTCGGTTTATTCAAGTATCGTCCTGATTTATACTAGGAATGCAATATCAAGAAGATCCAAACAGAAAGGGACGAATAAAGCGTCGGAAAACATACATTTAACACGATATCATAGAAAATATGATAACCCGACCTAATTAGGACTAAACTATGCAAACTCAAAGGGATAAATACTGGCTATCCCAATGAAATAATTCTTTTTCTAATCTTGAACTTCAACTAGCTAGGTAAAATGTCATGTTGACATGTCATGATGACATGGGAAGTATTACACGTATTAAAGTTACTATTTAGGACAGGAAAATTACAGGAATTGGTCACAACTTCGGTTTTAAAGGATTTTAAAGAGCGCCACGACTACAGGTTAGCTGCCCAGGCTGAGCTTATATAGACTTACTATAACTCACTTCAAACACTAGTTTCTGAGAGAGGAAACTTCTATTTATATACCTGTAGTATTTCACGGAATAAATAATCAGACATAACTCGTTTATAAATCTTTAAAAGTGAAAGGGATGTTTTGTTTTGCTAGCTGATGAGCTGTCACCCGGGGCGCGTGCAGGCTCACAGAGGCTGGGATGATAATGATTAAATGACAGCTGAAGCTCACCTAGAGGCGGGTTGTTGGTGTTAATCCTCAGGTTTAATGCCATCCTGCTGGATTAGCTTTGCAAACAGCCGGTTGTCTTCACACTGTTAAAAAAGAACCAAGAGAAATGAAATGATCCACAGGAGCTTCTCTCTACACGCCACACTAGCGGCCCGGAAGAAGAGAGAGTATTACTGTGACGAACAACCAAGACAACACTGCCTCCTGCTGTATGGGAGGAAGCAGAACCACACCGCTGCGTCCTGGGGGTTCTTCTTACTGTTATTATTATTTGTTTTTTGGAAAGCAACTTATTGTGATTATGTGATACGCATTACCATCATCTACTGGAATGGAGTGCGGGTCGGTATACTATATAAAAATTCTCCCACAAAAATAAATACATACATACATACATACAGACAGACAGACAGACAGACAGACAGACAGACAGACATAGATGATAGATAATTTTTTATTTATTTATTTTTTTACATTAACGTTGAGGCGGAACACAAAATAGAGCATCTGTTTCCAGTCGGGTCCGTTTCAAAGACCGCCTCCTGATTTTCTGCAGTTTCTCCTAAAGTTGATCTTTAAAACAAAGTTTGGCAGCTATCAGTGAACGGCTTTATTTGTGTCCAGCATAGTGAGCCAGATTCACTTCTCTGTTTTCTGATTTGGTCAGAAAAACGCGACCAGCCGCAGGTAACAGCAACATTTAGACATTTGTTTGTTTCCATCATTTCACTCGTCCAATCATAGCATGCCTGTTGCTCTCTGGACACTGTGGTCGCCTTTGTTTGCCATAATACACGTTTTTCTCACCCAACATTGAGAATGCAATATTAATATATGCTAATGGAGATTCTTTGTGCGAAAGATTTCATTAGATTATAAAGTATTGTTTTAACTTACATCATGAAATGCATGCATAAATAAACAACATCAAATAGAAAATAGAAAAAAAAAACTACATAAAGAAAATAAAGATTCATTTCCAGATGTGATGAGTGTTTATTTTAGTATTCTAATAATTATAATAGAATCATTATTAAATAACAAAAGTTATATTTAGATTTTTTTTTTTCTAACATTATTGTTGCTAATTGGTGGATTGACTAATGGGGGCCCTGGACAAGATAGTAGGGGGAAAAAAATTTAAGAGGCGCCTTAAAAAAATCACTCCTGAACATTTTAGAAAATTAAGATAAAAAATAAACAGATAACAGATGATCAATAAAAGCTGCATTCAAGGAAAATGGATACTACTGAAGAGGCATGTTCTGAGTCTTGGTTTCAGTTGGTGAAGGTTGTGTGACAGATGTTTGAAGGGAGAGAGAAATATTGAGACTATTCTTGATGTGAGACATGAAAGATGAAATAGATAGAGAAAAACTTTATATTATAATTAATATAGATTTACAATAGACCAAAAGTTTGGACACCCTTCATTCAAAGAGTTTCCTTTATTTTCATGACTTTTAAAATTGTAAATTCACACACAGGCATCAGAACAACGAATTAACACATGTGGAATTATATACTTAACAAAATAGTGTGAAACAACTGAAAATTTGTCTCATGTATTACAAGTTCTTCAAGGTTCTTCAAGCCACCCTTTGCTTTGATTACTGCTTGGAACACTTCATACTGTACTGCACTTCCTACAAGGAGCAGGTCTGTTTTATCACTGCTTCATTTCAGGAAACTGGAAGCAAACCAAGATTTAATTTCAGTCAAACACCCGGTGAGGGAGGAAGGTGAAGGCTTGCTAGATAAGTAAAGTTATCTATTAAGTGTTGTCTACTGATTCAAATATAAACGTGTTTCTGAATGTGATTCTAGGTGCTTTGAGTGGATTGTAGCGTAACTAGAAAAGCTCCATATAAATTCAACCCTTTAAAAACTAAAGCTGTCACTTATTATTATATTATTAATGAGATTTTTTTTTTACCGCTTGATGCCCATGGCTTCATATATGCAACAATCCATTTGTATCCACAGCCAACATAGCGTGTGCATTCCTCCAGTGCCACTTATTAGACTGTTGGTGTGGAACTAGGAACCTTTGGCAAGCTCTTGTTTCCTTTACAACGGTTCCGAACTATGTATTATCATTGAAAATATAATTGTTGTCACAAATTTCTAACATACCTACATTTCTATTTATTTTCAAAATAAATACATTGTTTAGAAATTGTAATTTTGCAACTTGTTAAATGTAAAAACCTTTTTTCTCTCTCTCTCTCTCTCTCTCTCTCTCTAAATATGTGTATATATATATATATATATATATATATATATATATATATATATATATATATATATATTTAGAAATTTGCTCCTCAATATGTTAAATAAATTTTCTACATTTTCATTTAATAAATTGAAATAAAAAATTATAAAGTCTCTGGATAGAGTCAATCAAAGAAGATAATCATGTTTGTTTTAAAATGTAATGAGGACTTGTGCAGGACTAAGGTCAGTGAAAGGGCTAGGGCTACAGCTAATGATTGTTTTACAAATCGATAAATCTGTCAATTACTTTTTTCATTTAATTGATTAATATTCGGATAGCCAAAGGTTCCATAAAGAAGACTTTTTATGAAATTAAACCAGGTGAAACTAAAACTTTTCCACTTGAGGAGCTCTGGATAGGGCAGACTGGCAGATGAAAAGTTTTTTTTTTTATCTTAAATGCTAAATGTTTATTTTTTATTTTTATTTTTTTACAATTTTGGTTTGATTTGATTAGAATTTTAAATAATTTAATTGACTTCATTCTACTTCAAAGGTAAGATGTCAGCTAAAGGCACCTTTTAGAGTCTCTACAATCCAGTTAACAATGAGTTGATCACTAAATGAGTTAATTATTATTCCATAATGGATTAATCACGATAAATCAGATTGATCGTTTCAGCCCTAAAAAGGACAGCTAACATCTCTGTAGACCAAACACATCCTGGATACAGACTAAATTTAACCTTCAGGTAAAGACAGGATAATCAATCAGTCTGCTGTGAAACAATAAGCATGTTTGTTGTTTTGTTTTTTTACCAGTTTCTGCCTTTATTTTGTTCTATTCCATATATATATGTTTTAGGGCTGCAACTGACTATTTTGCAAATCGATTAATCTGTAGATTGTGAAAAGGATCAATTATTAATTGATTAATAATCAGATAGCCAAAGGTTCCTTAAAGAAGACTTTTTGTGAAATTAAACCAGGTGAAACAAAAACTTTTCCACTTTAGGAGTTCTGCATAGAGCAGATTGACAGGAGAAATGATTTTTATCTTAAATTCAAAATGTTACATTTCTTTTTTTTTTTTTTACAATTTTGGTATAATTGCTGCTCAAGGTGGGTTTATCTGTCTGCCAAGGGCATGTGTAAGAGTATCTATACTCCAGTTAATAATTAATAGATTACTAAGGTTACCATTATTTCAAAAATCGGTTATCACAATTAATCTGATTGTTTTAGCCCTATATGTGTACACAAACAAGAAGTCAAATTATTTTTTTGTGCAGACAGCCTTGGCTAGTAAAGCTGATTCTTAATTGTGGTTCTAATAATAAGACCAATGCAAATTATAAAGAGAGCTTCTGTGTGTGTCTGTCCTGTTATATTCAGCTCCAGGCCCCTGTTCCTGCTCGCTGTGTCCTTCCAGGCATGTCTCAGGCCAGTCTGCATGGCAGGTGGACTGTCTCTAGCAGCGATGATGATGATGATGAAGACATTCCTCCTTCAGGGACTACTGCACCCAAGCCCCGCAGGTCTCCCTCTCCAGTACCAGAGCCAACTCCTCTGGAGGTGAAAGCAGAACCAGTCAGAACGCCAGTATCCTCCTCACTCACTATTGGCTCTGAAGCCAGACAGTCAGCAGCGAGGAACCAGTTAAACCCAGTAAAGTTTGAAAACAGCCCATCGCTGGCTGGGAAGCGGAAGAAGGAGGCCTCTGATGGTTCCGGTTGGGCTCTCTCAGACAGTGACGAAGATGATGAGGTGAAGAATGACAGGCAGGTTAATCCGCCAAAGCAGGCGCCTCCAAACGGTGAAAGAAAAAAAGCCAAGATGGAGAGCGAGCGTCCGCCGAGTCCCCACGGCCGACTGTACTACATCGACGAGCCGGACAACTTCTTCGAGTCTTCTGTTCCCTGCCTGAATGACACCTACAGATTTTACCTGAACAAAGTCACAGGGCTGGACAGGAAGTACAACAGTGGAGCTCTGCACATCAGAGGTGAGGGATGTACAAAGAAAATAACACATGTAATTATTTTTCATGCTTTAATGAACACAGAGGTGAATTAAAGAAACAAATGCACACGGTTTTCTACAGTCCTGTTTTATGTGGAAATCAGAAAGGTTTGGTGTGCAGGTCTGAGACACATGCATCGTGCTAAAGAAAAGAGAAAGACAGGATTTTTACCCTGGCAGGTTAGTTGCCTTCTTCTCACCTTTGGATGATGAATCTAATAATAATAATAATAATAGGAGGCCGACTGGGGTTCAAGGAGACAGAAGCAGAGATACAGAAAGCAACTGTAAAAGGCGACCCCATCCCGGAAACACACAGACAGACAGGTGAGCTCTGAGCCAGCTCCCATGTCAGAGGATGAAGAGAGCACATCCAGTTAGTCACAGTCAGAGAAACAGGACCACACTGAAAACAGGCCAATCTCCAACATCTATAAACAAAGGCGATGATGGCTAGCCTCGTGAGACCATCCTGATCTCGCGAGCTTTTCATCGGCTTCAGCCGATGAAACCAGCGTTAGCGTAGCTATCGAGCAAGTTTTATCGGAATTACAGAGTATTTCTTCACTGGAAGAAGAGCAAAACACTGCTCTGGAAGCTTTTCTCAGGGAAAAAGATGTTTTTGCTCTTCTCCCGACTGGTTTCGGCAAGAGTGGCCTGGCTCGTGGTTGTGTTTTCGTCGTCGCTCTGTTAGTACGTCATATGCTTTGTTGATCTGATTGGTTTATTTGGCCCAGCTATCACCAACATAGGCCAATCAGCTAACCAGTATTTTCGCCCCTTCCCAAAATTACTTCAACGGAAGGTTTCCAGATGGATATGCGGAGCAAATCCATCTGGCGGAGTCAGGTTAGTTAATGGCAACAGCACAGCTGATATTTCTCTCCAGGATGGAGTCACAGCCAAACAGGAACAGACCAGATGAAGCTACTATGAGAAAAAACAGAGAGAGCAGAACGTTAGAGATTAAACTAACAGATTCTGCAGACTGGGAGAATAGAGATATGGGGGTCCCTATGTTCTCCGGCAGTCTAAGCCTATGGCAGCATAACGATAGAGATAGCTCAGGATAACCTGAGCCACTCTAACTATATATACTATATCAAAAAGGAAAGTTTTAAGCCTAGCCTTAAAAGTAGACAGGGTGTCTGCCTCACGGACTAAAACTGGTAGTTGGTTCCACAGGAGAGGAGCCTGATAACTAAAAGATCTGCCTCCCATTCTACTTTTAGAAATTCTAGGAACCACTAGTAAACCTGCAGATTGAGAGCAAAGTGCTCTGTTAGGAACATAAGGAACAATCAGATCTCTGATATCAGATGGAGCTTGGCCATTTAAGGCTTTATATGTGAGAAGGAGAATTTTAAATTTTATTGTAGGTTTAACAGGAAGCCAATGAAGAGAAGCCAGGATAGGAGAGATATGATCTCTTTTTAATTTTCTTAAGAACTCTGGCTGCAGCATTTTGGATCAGCTGAAGGCTTTTAACTACAGTTTGTGGACTTCCTGATAGTAAAGAATAACAAATAATAAATTGTACAAAATAAAAAATTTAAGGTGAAACCTTTTTGCACATCTTTTACACAGACATCCTGTCCCCGTTATTTGGCACCCTAAAAGAGTCCGTTCAGGTGTGTGACTTATATTGCTTATTAGATAACCAGATAATTTTTTATGAAAATAAAAGCTAATTCAGTTTAAAACATTAAGGATGGATGTGTTTACATTTGGTTTCATAAAGTGAGACATAACCCTGACTTTTAACTTTTATTCAATGCTCCAGTACCTTTCTATTCATAAGGCATTGGAGATGTGTAACACCTCTCCTCTCCTGTCCTTCCTAGTTTAACTATTGCTTTGATATTCCCTGGATGGTAAAGCAGTTCCCACCAGAGTTCAGGTAGGTCCTGCATCTTGTTCTTGGCACCACCAATGTGATCAGGTGTTCTTATTCATAGTTTTAAATAATGTCTATATTGTGCTTATGGGAAATGAATAAACAGGAAGTCATTGTTTTATTTTGAAAAGGACTATATTAGGTTTGGTGTTTGTTTTCAGGCATTGTCCGGTTCTGATCGTCCATGGAGATAAAAGGGAGGCCAAAGCACGGCTGCTTCAGCAGGGCCAGCCTTTTCCACATGTTCGTTTCTGCCAGGTAAGGAAGCCAGTCCAGATGTGCTGCAAATAGAAACAGATTTCTGAGTTTGTTCTTTTCCTCAAGATCTAAAAGTTCTTTCTTTTCAGGCTAAACTGGACATTGCTTTTGGGACTCACCACACGTAAGCTTCTCTCTCCCTCCGCATGGCTTTTTTCTACCAGAGCAAACTTTTCACTTCACCAACAACAAAAGAATAAATATTAAAAGTAGCTCTTGGCCAAGAGAAGTAAATTTTAATTCTTTGTTCTGTTTTTATATCTTCCTCATCAGGCAAACTTACTTTGATTAAATATGTAGTTTTATTAACTTTAGATTATTAAATGTTAACATTCTTATAAACACACACTGAAGCACAGCATTTAAAAACAAATCCAATCATAAAACAAATTAAAATTACAATATAACAGAATTAACAAAACAATAAATAATAAAACTAAAATGCTTCTCAGTTGGTATCAGTATCACTTACACTTGACATCCCCTTACTTCCACTCTCTTTCAGAAAGGATAAGAATAGGTACCATATCTCCTAAAATTTGTTACATTTACCTTTCACTATATAAGTTATTTTTTCCATGACCATGTTAGTTGCTATTTCTTTCACCCAGTCATTTACATGTTGTACTTGGACTTTTATCCAAAACAAAGCTATAAGACGCTTAGATTGTAGCAAACACATGTCAAGGAAAATATATTCCCTTTTATTCAAAGGCATTTCAGGCATTCCGTCTATTCAAAGGCATTTTACTCTAGTAAAAGTGAAAAAGTATGTGCTTCAAAGCAGCAGCACAGCTGATATTTCTCTCCAGGATGGAGTCACCGCCAAACAGGAACAGACGAGGGAAAGCTACTAAGCAGATTTACTTATTAGGCCAAAAACACTTTTCAGTATTTGTGTATTTTGGATTTTTGCCTCTGTTTCTCTTTGGACTTTCATTAATCAAAAACTCATCTGTGCCTACTCCTCTCTGCATTTGGATCCTCAAAGCCTCCTCACAACCTGACAGAGGATGAGTGTAAAATAATGCAGTTATTTCAGATATTTTTTTAACTTTATTTTTTTCCTGGCTCGGTAAAAAAGCATACTACTAATAAACAAAAGTATAAGAAGTAGATTTCATCTGGGTCAAAACAAGCAGTTTTTAATTTGTAATATTTTTTTAATCTGTTACTTTAAACATAATTTAACATAGAAATAAAATTAGGTGTTTATGCATCCATGTTATACATTGAATAAAAAAAAAAAAAAAAAACGTTTTTCTATTTTAAAATGGAAGTGTTTTTTTTAAGTAGAGAACAACAATCGTTGAGGCTGGTTTATAGACATTTTCCTGATTCACATATTTTATTAAACACCTGAACTGACCGTTTAAAAAATTTTTTTTTCTTTTTTCTTTTTTCTGTCTTAATGTTCGCAGTGGGCTTTATGCTGCCCCGCAAGGCTTTAAACCTGGGTTTGAATGGAGACTAAGCCATTCTAAAGCACATATCAAGGTGCTCATTTTGAGCCTGGATCCATATTTATTTTTGATTCTGTTCATGGTGGAGAATCCTGCTTCACAGCAGCAGGTTGAGCCAAACATCCTCTAAATGTTCAGGATCATCTTTGAGCACCATTTCACTTTTCTTTCACCAGTTCACCACAGTTCTTCCAGCAGTCCACACTTTCTCTGCTCTCTTTTTCTCATCATCTTCTCCTTCTTTCCCATCGCCCGGCTTGCCACAGGTTTGCATGCTTTGTCTAAAAGTAGCAGCAGCAGCAACCCAGACTGACAGCAGCTCATTGGCTAATTTGTATCACATGCTGCCTGGTCCCGGTGCTCCGTAGGGCTTTACCGTATTAACAGGAGAAGCGGCGCAAGTGAAGTTAGACACTATAGTTGGACAACATGCGGTAATTTATAAATGTATTAAATCAGGTTGGGTCCGGATTAACCAGCAGGTGGGTCTGGATCCGGATCGCGGTCCACCAATCCGTGACCTCTGGTCTAGAAGAATGGGAAATGAGTCCCAACATGTTTGTGGTCCTACTTTCAGTGAAATCAATAGAAAGAAACATAACTGGCTTTGTAAAAAATGTGTGTTTTGTTTCTCTATTTAAGCACAGTTCATGTTGGAGAGTTAAAATCGAAAGTTACGTATGTAACTACGGTTCTATGAATCCCGGATGACCGCCAGAGGGCGGTGCTGAAAGCACTGAATGTTCCCTTCGGGCATGCGCAGTTCGAGTAATTATACCAACAGAGTCACACCTGTGACACCGGATGACCACTCAGAAGCTATATAGCCTGGTGTCATCCTTTGCTCTGCTCCTACAGAATCTTCTCGCAAAAGCAAGGATTCTGAGTGACAGAGAAGCTCTGGCGGTCATCCGGGATTCATAGAACCGTAGTTACATACGTAACTTTCGTTCTATTTCATCCCTACTGACCGCCAGAGGGCGGTGCTGAAAGCACTGAATGACTAATGCCAACGATGTCACAAGGAATCCTGAGCACATACCTCACAGAGGAGGCCCAGCAGAACCTTGTAAAAGGACCTGACCCAGGGGATGAGGGGCAGCCACATTGACACTGTAGAACCTGGTGAAGGTGGTTGGGGAAGCCCATGAAGCAGCAGCACATATAGCTTCCAGCGGAACCCCTCTCAAAGCAGCCCAGGAAGCGGTGACGCTCCTGGTGGAATGTGCTCTCACACCGACTGGCAGGGAGCAGTGACCTGCAGCGTAGGCGTGGCAGATGACACTCACAATCCAATGGGACAGACGCTGTTTAGAAAGAGGACAGCCTAACCTTGGACCCCCATAGCATAGGAAAAGCTGGTCCGAGCGTCTCAGATTGGCGGTGGCTGCAATGTATGCCTCCAACGCTCTTACTGGGCACAACAACTCCGACTCATTCTCAGTTGTACCAGATTGAGGCTGAAACCGAGCGAGCCGCAATGGCTGGTTACGGTGAAAAGGAGACAACACCTTAGGCACAAACGCAGTATTAGGCCACAGGGTAACACCAGAGCCATCTGGATTCCACCTGATACACCTAGGGCTGACAGAAAGAGCATGTAGCTCGCTGACCCTCTTAGCTGAGACGATAGCCATCAGGAAAGCAGCCTTGCAGGAAAGCCACTTGAGTTCTGCTTGTGCCAAAGGCTCGAATGGAGGGTGGCACAGAGCTGTGAGAACCAATGGCAGATCCCAATCTGGGGCTCGTGGGGCTGGCCGCTGGCACAACCTACGAGCACCACGCAGAAAAAGTGAAACCAGTTCATGGCGCCCCACTGTACGGTTGTCAACAGTTCGGTGAAGACATGAAATTGCTGCAACATACACTTTAAGGGTCGAAGGAGAGCGGCCCTTATCAAGGAGAGACTGGAGGAACTCCAAAATAGTGGGCACCGAGCAGAAAAGCGGGTTCTCATTGTGGGCAGAGCACCACTGAGAAAAGAGGCGCCATCTGTTAGCATACTGCAGCCGAGTGGAGGAAGCCCTAGCACTCAATACGGTGTGTCTCACGGTGTCTGAACACCCAGTCAGCCTCCCAGGGGCCATGCCCACAGCTGGAGACGTTGAGGGTTGGGGTGCCATATCTGTCCCCCCAACTGAGACAGCAGATCCCTCCTTGCTGGAAGACGCCATGGAGTACCGTGACACAGACTCCAAAGCAGCGGGAACCACGGCCGCGCTGGCCAGAACGGAGCTACCAGCAACACTCTGTGGCCCTGCTCGAGAACCCTCCGTAGAGTCGGCCAAACCAGTGAGAGGGGTGGAAAGGCATACAGGAGAACCTGCGGCCATGGATGAGCCAGTGCATCCTGGCCCAGTGCGCCCGCCATCCCGGTTAGGGAATACCATAGGGGGCAATGGGTCGACTCCTCTGTGGCGAACAGATCTACCTCTGCCTGCCCAAAGAGGTTCCAGATTATGCGCACTACGTCGGGGTGAAGAGACCACTCTCCCGGAGCAGGTGCCTGGCGGGATAGAGAGTCCGCAACCTGGTTCTGCCGTCCTGGCAGATACGCTGCGCGCAGGGTACACAGACGGGAATACGCCCATTCCAGGAGATCCCTCGACACCTTCAAGAGACGTGCTGACCTGGTGCCACCTTGGTGGTTTATATGATAAACAACAGAGGTGTTGTCTGTCCGAATCAGCACGTTCCTTCCCTCTAGGTGGGGCAGAAGGCACCTGAGGGCCATGTGCACAGCCCGCAGCTCCAGCACATTTATGTGTTCGGTGCGCTCCCTTGGGTCCCAGAGACCCCGAACAGCTCTGTGTTGCCACACGGCACCCCAGCCCATGAGGCTGGCATCCGTGGTGACCACCTTCCTTCGACACACTACTAGCCCCATTGGAACACCACTGGACAAAAGGGTCCCGTCTCGCCAAGGGGCTAGGGCATGGAGGCAGCTCCTGGTCACCATTAGCCTGCGATGCCTGTGCAGCCTGGTGTCTAGGCGAAAGCTGTTGAGCCATCGCTGCAAAGGACGCAGAAGGAGCAGCCCTAAGGGCACGACACGAGTGACTGATGTCAGTTTGCCCAGCATTCGCAGGAAGGTGATGTAGGGAAACTCCCTGCCCAGTCTGAATCGACGGACAAGCTGGAGTATGTCGTCCACCCTGTGAACAGATGGACGGGCCATCATGGTAGCAGAGTCCAGATGCATCCCAAGAAAGGTGGTTGTCTGAGATGGAACCAGACAACTCTTTGCCAAGTTGACTTTGAGGCCTAACATTGACACATGAAGTAGAAGCTGGGACGTATCCCGAGAGGCAGCTACCTGAGAGGGAGCACAAAGAAGCCAATCGTCCAGGTATGGCAGAATCCTGACTCCGGAGGCCTGTAGAGGAGAGAGGGCTGCTTTCACGCATCGAGTAAACACCCTCGGGGAAAGGGAGAGCCCGAATGGGAGCACCCGGAATTGCCAATGGCGCCCCCGATAGGCGAACCTGAGAAAACGGCGATGTTCTGCCGCAATAGGCACGTGAAAGTAGGCGTCTGTCAGATCTACTGATGTAAACCAATCTCCCGCCACAATGGTCTGAAGGACCTCTGTTATGGTGAGCATGTGGAAGGGAAGGACCTTCAGGTACCGATTCAGTCCCCTTAGATCTAAAATGGGGCGAAAACCGCCGGTCTTCTTGGCCACAAGGAAGTATGTGGAGTAGTAGCCTCTGGGTTGCTGCAGAGGATCTACAGACTCGATTGCCCCCTTGCCCAGGAGGGCGGAAAGCTCCTGGTCTAGTGCCTGAGATTTCACCGGGTCTGTGATGACAGTCATCTTGACCCGGTGTGAGAGGGGGGGCCGCCGTCGGAACTGGAGCCTGTAGCCATTGGTTAAGGTGGAAACCACCCATGGATCTACGGCATGAGCAGCCCAGAAATTCAGCTGCTGATGGGAAAAATGTCCGACGGCTGGCCCGGTGGCATCATCTTCTATCCCCACGGCCCCTGGGGGCTCTGGGGGGAGGGCGTCCAGGATTTGAGGCCCGGGTCTGTCTAACAGGGCGGCAGACTGGCTCACGAAAGTCCCTTCTCGGTCTCTGCCGCACATCATGGGGATAGGAACCAACAGGTCTGCCACCAGTCTGAGGTCGTGGCTGAACGCTGGGGGTAGTGGCAGGGCGGCCCGAACGCTGGGGAAAGGCAGGTATGCTCCTGCGAAGGCCGGAAAGCTGCTGGCTAGTCTGACGTGCCTGAGCAGTCCGTTCCAGCGCCTCCAAGGCAGCTGATCCAAACAGCTCCCCTGGTACAACCGGGACACCCCTGAGGGTCCTACGGCATGCTTCAGTCAGAGGAGACTGTGCCAACCAGACCTGTCTACGAGCTTGGACAAGGAAAGACATGACCCGTCCAAGCTCTCTGGTCATCAGCGCGAAGGCCTGCAGCGCTGCGTCACTATAACCAATCGCCGCACTTGCACCACCAGTGTCCTGAACAGATGCAGACAGGGCAAACATGAGGTGCGCCAGGGAATTGCCAAGGCGGCCAGCACGCGCTCCTGCATTGTACGCCTTACAGAGGAGGTCATCTGTAACCCGACATTGAGTCCGCGGGCACCGGACATCAGGACGCAGGGCTTCATCTGGTGACACAATCAGTGAAGCAACAGCTGGTTCAATTGCTGGCATACGGTCCAGGCCGGCCTTCACTGACTCATGCATGGCAGCTAATACACGACCATCCGAGGAGAGACGCGACAGCGCTCTCGGTTCCCGCCAACAGGCGTGTAACTCCTTCAGGTACTCCTCTGATGGAGGTACAGAAAAAGGAGTAGGAGCCCTTCCACGTCTGAAAAAAGCACTGCCAGAGCTGGATGCCTCTCCTTGTGGGAGTTCCAGCTGCAGCTGCTTCAGGGCCATAGACATGACCTCCCGCATGGAACCGTCACCGGCCTCTCCAACTGCACTCTGAGATGAAAATGAACCAGCCTCAGAGGCTTGAGAGGACCCTGCCTCCTCCTCATCTCTAAAATGAGAAGCGGAGGCAGCCAGAGAGATAACGTCATCCTCTACAACCAGCTCGGGCATTGGTGGGGAAGAGAGCCCAACCACTGGGAGCGAGGGATCAGATTGCCGTGTCTGCAACAAGGACTTCATCTCTGCCAGCTCTGCTGACAACTGCTCCACCCTTGTGGACAGGCCCTGGTCAGGTTTGGCCCGCTTCCTCCGGGGGAGGGGCACAGATGCTGTGGTCCCACCACGGCGCTTAGAACGCTTGGGGGGAACCACCTGCCCAGAGGGCGGAAGGTCCGAGCCCTCCTGGGGGCACAACTGGGCCAACCGGGCCACCCTCATTGCATGGGGCATAAAGCTGCAGTTCATACAGGGGTTCTCAGACAGCGCCTCCAAAAGGTGCTCATGTCCAAGGCAGGTAGGGCACAGGTCGTGTCCATCCTCTGCCTGCAGGGCAGCCCCACAATCTATGCAGCTGTGAGAGCCATCCATGTCGAAGGCCGACAAGGCTTAAAGAACAGAAAGTTATCGAAAATCGGGAGAGGGGGCGCAAACGCAGCCGTCACCAATTACAGCAGAGAAACGAAAGAGGCTGCGAGCACAAGGCAGCCGATACTGGGAGAGGGGGCGAGAACCGCTACCGTCACCAGGTATAAAACCAATAAACCAAAAAAGCTAACAACGTTAGCTGTATGGAAACCTAAGTTGGAAGTAGGAGCGAACAACGCTGCCGTCACCAATTATAGCGGATAAAACAAGAGAGGCTGCGGACACAAGGCGGCCGATACCGGGAGAGGGGGCGAGAACCGCTACCGTCACCAGGTATAAAAGCAATAAACAAAAAAAGCTAACAACGTTAGCTGTATGGCAACTTAAGTAGGGAGTAGGAGCGATAAACGCTGCCGTCACCAATTAAGAGAGCAGACCAACGAAAAGGCTGCAAAAAAAGGTTGATATTGGGAGAGGGGGCGAAAACGCTGCCGTCACCATTTATAATTAAGCAGACCGATGAAGAAGGCTGCAAACAAACCAAAAAAGGCTAACAACGTTAGCCGTCTCCAACTTCGGCAACGAAGTAGACCACACTTGGTTGGGAGAGGGGGCGAAAACCGCGGCCGTCAGTAATTATAGCAGCGCAGACCGGTGAAAAAAAGGATGCAAAAGTAGGGAATATACTGGGAGAGGGGGCGAAAACCGCTGCCGTCACAGGTGTGACTCTGTTGGTATAATTACTCGAACTGCGCATGCCCGAAGGGAACATTCAGTGCTTTCAGCACCGCCCTCTGGCGGTCAGTAGAGATGAAATAGAACTCACTCTCTGCAGGTTGACCAAATTTTTACAACAAATCAAATGAAATGCAGTCTGAGGATCCAAAGACATTGCAGAGGCAGCTAATGGTTTAGACCTGGTCTAGTCTTAGTGGGGATTTAAAGTCAGGTTTTATATTTTTGAGCTTGTTTAAACTACTTTTTTTTATGTTTTATTTGTTTGTTGAGCAGGAAGATGATGCTGCTGTGGTATGAGGAAGGCTTCAGAGTGGTCATCCTCACCTCCAACCTCATCAGAGCTGACTGGTACCAGAAGACCCAAGGGTAAGTGTTTACTCAGAGGGTTAGCTGCAGGACAGGCTGGACCTGTGAATCAAATGTGCTAGCGTCTGATGTAAGATTCGCTTCTTTTGTTCTTTTAGGATGTGGATGAGCCCTCTGTTTCCACGGTTACCTGAGGGGAGCAGCGCAAGTTCGGGGGAGTCGCCCACCTTCTTTAAGCGGGACCTGCTGGAGTACCTAGCATCATACCGCGCTCCAGAACTGGAAGATTGGATCCAGCGGATCAAGGAGCACGACCTGTCGGAGACTAGGTGAAACCATCAGGATGATCGTATAGATTCTCTGCTGGTAGATGAAGCTAAGGTCAGAGTCACAGCTAAAAGGTCTTTGTTTGGTTTCAGAGTTTATTTGGTCGCCTCAATGCCGGGGAGATACGTGGGTGCAGACATGGAGCGCTGGGGCCACCTGAGGCTCCGGAAGGTTAAGCTTTTTCTCTTCTGCACTACAGTTCATCCCCCTGTTTACTGAACATGACCTATGGAAGAACCGTCACACAAGACCTTCAAATACCCGTGGTTATCAAGCTGCAGAGAGGAGAGATCACAGTCTAGAAACGCATGTTGATCAGTTCAGTAAATGGTTATATGCAGCAACTGTGCCTTGAAGGAGAATCACTTGAGCATTTTTACATTTCACCAGATTGCAGTCAGAAATTAGAGATATTTTAAAAAAGATACATGAAGGAAAATGTTTTTATTAGGATTTTAAAGTCGTAGGGAAGCGGCTGTTTCAACCGTTGCATTTACAAATTCTCCCAAGTGGTGCACTTTTTAAGTAGAGAACAACAATCGTTGAGGTTGGTTTATAGACATTTTCCTGATTCACATATTTTATTAAACACCTGAACTGACCGTTTATTTCTCTACTTAAAAAGTGCACCACTTGGGAGAATTTGTAAATGCAACGGTTGGTGTAGAAGGCTTACAGCCGTACATGTTTGAGCCCTTGCCTCGCAACGCTGCCAGTTCTGTTAGCTCTACGCCTGCTGAAGACACAGACGTCCATCCCCGTGAACACTGGGACGGAACTCAATGGGAAAGGAAATCATTCTGATTTCTTATTTCAATCATTGCGTATATGAGCTGCAACATATGAATCAAGATGCTATGACTGAAAAAATTTGATTGACAGATGACCGTTGATATATGATTGGTCGAATTTAGGTGTTCAGGCTGACGTATAACTAACTGGCCTGCATAAGTAAACGAAAAAAACTCAACAGATTTTGAGACAGGTTTTTTAAAAATTAAATTTTTCTAACTTTTTGGACAATATCGTCTGATAATGAGTACATTTATATGCATGTTTAAGCCAGAATTATTTGACATTTAAATATGATTTCCCTACGATTTTAAAGGAACGTCTCCATTAGCTATACGCATTAAGATACTAAAGACCTGAAAGATAAAAAAAAAAAGCTGATGCTCAGTCAGATTAGAAGAATATTGTCCTTTAAGCTCCATTTTCAGATGAACAGCTAGACTTTAGCAGCCTGTCTATGTGCGTTTTTATCTAATGAGGATCTTTTTAATCCTATATACTTTCTTTGTACTTTCTACAGGTGTGTGTAATTCTATTTGCACTGTATGTGTCCATTTGGAGCCGAGTTTTAGCAGGATTTGGTAATGGTTTTATTACAATTAAGATTATTGATTTTTAATCTGATCCTTCATCTTCATCTGAACCAGGGAGTCTGCATCCTTTATGATCTAAAAAATGAAAAAAATTCCTGTCTAAGGGCTGCTAATATAACTTATTTGAAGATGCACATTTTTCCTGAGCTTAAAAAAAAAAAGTATACTTTCTGATAAACATATTGTAGGAAATTTACTCAAAGACATTATTTTATTTCTAATTTTAGGTTTTTGAGTAAAAAATTGCAGAAAAAATTAATTAAGCATTTTATTTTTTTCATTGGATGTTGAAACGTGTGGAAAATAATCATCTTTCAATCTGTTGAAGTAGAGATTTAAAAGAATATTACTGCCACTGTCAGCATCCTTGTGCAAACCTTAATGCAAAACTTCCATAAATGAATAAAAAAAACTGCTCAAACCTACATACATCTATATTCTAAAAAAAATGTTAGAAGTTAATTTGCTAAAATTTATTTAATTAAAGTTAATTTATATCAGACCAGCATACCCATAGTCAATGCAAAAGATGTCTGAAATGCATTTATCCCTTTAGTTTTGTATGAAAAATAGATTTTAAACTACCTCAACAGGCGTGTATCCCTTTAGTTATGTACAAAAAAAAAAAAAATTAAGGTCAGATTGCCATACGCTTCAAAGAACACCAAAAAGTAAGTAATTAAATAGATTTTTAATTACTAAGGTTGAATAAAACTGCTAATAGTGTAGCCATATTAAGCTACACTATTTGTCACCAACCCTCTTATAAAATAAAACTATTGATTTTCTTTGTGCCATGTTCTGCTATTGTTTTACATAAACTCAACATAAAACTGTGTAAGATGTGCTTCTGAAGACTTTTATGAGGCTCTTTATGAGTTTGTTTTAATTTTTTCTCCGTTAGCTGTTGCATGAGCACACGGATCCTATTCCAGGTGAAGAAAGGTGGCCTGTGATTGGCCAGTTCTCCAGCATCGGCTCCATGGGGGCCGATAAGACCAAATGGCTGGCAGGGGAATTTCAGCGCACTCTGACCACACTGGGAAAGTCCTCCCTCCGTCCAGACCCTCCCATGTATTTGGTACAAACTCTACTCTATGATGATTTTAGATATAAACAGGTTTTTTTTTTTTTGTATAACCTCAGTAGTGACGTAATCACCATGCTCACACGACTCTTAAGTCCTAAATGATGTGTTTTTGCAGCTGTACCCATCAGTGGAAGATGTGAGGCTGAGTTTAGAGGGTTACCCTGGTGAGTTTGTTCCTCCTTACCTTTGAGACCTTTATGCTTTATGGATATAGATACGTTTGAAAGCTAACAGATACCGGTAAGTCCTAAAACATGTGGATGCTTAGTAAAATCAATACAATGGAGGAGATTTCAACCAGATGTTTTAAATCTTTCTGCCCAAATATACTTTTTTTTTTTTTATAATATTCCTTGGATCTGAAAAGATAGGTTTGACTGGCTGTGTTTGCTGCCTGGTTGCTGATGGATGGATCTTTATCTTTTGTCTTCAGCTGGAGGTTCTCTTCCCTACAGCATCCAGACGGCTCAGAAACAGATCTGGCTCCACTCATACTTCCAGTAAGTTGTCCTCTCTATGAAAACTATGTGTTCAGTTATTTATGGTAAATAATTAGGTTTTGAGTCCCTTTTTAATGTTTGTGGGGTTTTTTGGCTTGTGATTATGAGATTCAGTACTAAGACTTATATATCATTCTAGGGGGCCGACGGAGGCACTGCATTGGGGTCGTGAAACTTTTGGTTGATTAAACTTTTTTTCCCCCCTGCAGTTTTTTCCACTAATTGAAATGTCTTTAAATCCACATTAACATGAATTCAACAGACTGTAGTAAACAGATAAATGGAGGCAGAAGATGTCTTTCAGTCATCAATGCACACATTCAGCGACACACAGGAGCTCTTTCAAGCTGGGAACCGTTTCATTCACAACACCTGTCCCATCAACCAGGAATCAGAATCAGAAATACTTTAATAATCCCAGGGAGAAATTACTTTTGTCACATTACTCCATCTGTATTAGAGTGACTATAGGACCAGTTTGATATAACACAATTTCATACAATATATATAATTAGGGGGTCCCCGCTCCATCTCGCCATCAGTTTCGGGTCCTTGGCCTGGAACACGTGGAAGACCCCTGATCTAAGCCATTCAGTTGTGAGCTCCATTATGAAAGGCTTTGAATCCAGAAAAAAAGGAGAAAATAATACAATAAAAGTGATGAATAAAAGTCCCTTAAATGTGCTTTACAGATGGCCTTCATCCTCCTGTTGGTGTCCACCATTGTCAATGATATAATAGGGAGAATCTAAAGCTGGATCAGCCTTTACTGCAATCACTGTGCAAGTTTTGAACTAAAAGTTAGGCTAGTTATTATAAAGGCTAAAATCCCCACAACCAGTCAGTGGCGGCTGGTGGAATTTTCTCCGGGGTGGGGTGGTCTATAACTTCAAAATAGACGTATACCAAAAACCAATCAAATGTATGGGGGAGTGGCGGCGTGGTGGTCAGTGCACAGAGCTTGGAATCTTGAGGTTCTGGGTTTGAGCCCCACTCCCACAGCCTCCACTCTGGGTCCCTGAGCAAGACCCTTAACCTTGAACCCCACACTGCTCCCCGGGCACCGCACAATGGCAGCCCACTGCTCCCCAAGGGGATGGGTTAAATGCAGAGAGGGAATTCCGTTGCTCTGTACTTGTGCCAGTTTAATGACCATAAAAGCGGGGGGAAAAACACTAAGGTATCACAAGATTATATTTACATGAACACCAACAACCGAAAAACAATATTCTTAAATGTTCTGCAAAGTGCTTTAAATCAGTCCTACCTGTCTTTATCAATGGGGTCAGATCCTGTCGCTTGAGAAAGGAGGGAGGGAAAGCATAATAAAGCGTTAGCCTCACTGCATGCAGTTAGCCAAGCCTTGTCGTTAAATAATTCTATAAACCTGTCATTCAGCTGCACTTTCTAACAGACGACTGTGATGTCAGCGCTGTGGCGGGAGGTGGTGTGCAAATAAAGCTGCTTTAAGCTCTGGTTGCAGGAGAGCTGCTCCCCAGGATGCTCCTATCTTTAGCATTGAGGAGGAGCTGCTGCACCTCGATAACTTTTAACCAGAGTCTATGGGGGAAGATTTTTGCTTCCCGGGGCGGAAATATGTCACCAATCTGACCACCAACGAACCAGCCTTACTTGTCATTAATTATGAAATATTTATCTTGCACATCTAAAAAAATATGTTAATATATTTCAATTTTATAATTATTAAATTTTGATTTGTTTTTGCGAGTGTTTGGGGCGGCTCCCTAACGCCCCCTATTGGCCAGCCGCCATTGCCTACAACCCTAAATGTTTCTTCTCAAGGAGTAAACATGAAGACATGAATATAAGCAAAAGAAAAGGAATCATGGTTCTTTTGCACAAATAAAATCATCTAGACAGCATGCATCTGCACATCTTTGCCTTTCTTTACCTTGGCTCCAAAACTGAGACCGTTCTGTCCTGTCGGTGTGTTTTTACTTTCCTGCAGCCGCTGGAAGGCAGGCCGGACAGGAAGGAGTCACGCCATGCCGCACATTAAAACCTACATGAGGGTTTCACCTGATTTCACCCAGCTTGCCTGGTTCCTCGTCACAAGGTGTGTTTGAAGACCTGCAGAGCTGCACTCTTAGTTTTTATTCTCTGAATTATGTACAGATTCATGTTTGCATTGATCTTTGTCTCTTTTATGACTGTATGAATGGGGGGAATCAGTGCCAACCTGTCTAAGGCAGCATGGGGGGCACTAGAGAAGAACAACACTCAGATAATGGTGCGGTCATACGAGCTGGGGGTGCTCTACGTCCCATCAGCATTTGTGAGTAAAGCAATCGCACAAACCATCCCCACTAACTCGAGTACTGCTTGTGTTATATTAAGGGCCTCTTCTCTAAATGCATAGAACGTCCAGATACGAGTGTTTTAATAAAACTGCTCATATCAGTATTGTAAATGTGTTAACGTGAATCCTAACTTCATAGTTTGTGAAGATATTTGAGTTTTTACGACTGCGTCTCTCACAGAACATGAAGACATTCCCCGTTGATACCAACCCGTTTCCCGCCTCCTCCCCTACATCCGGTTTCCCGGTACCCTTTGACCTCCCCCCTACCAGCTACACATCAAAAGGTACAGTTGTTATTTTCCAGGTACACTGCAAAAAATGTAAATCTTAATAAGTCATTTTTTCTTAAAATAAGTGCATTTTGTCTTGAATTGAGGAGGTAAGTGAGACACTTTGCCAATGGAACAAGACAATTTACATTTAAAATAAGAAAAAACAATTCCATTGTCTTATTTCAAGTGTATATTATCTAATTATCTTCTTTTAAGAGTAAAAATACTAATTTCATTGGTAGATCATCTTATTTACCTACCGAAATTAAGGTTAAATACACTTAATTTAAGATTTTATTTTCTTATTTTCACATCGTTTTTGCAGTGTATATTAAATGAATGCACATATAGTAGTGGTGTAAACAGACATGGCTCCACCATCATTCAGGCAGGGCTATTGACACTCAGACAAATAGACCAAACCTTTTCAACCTTTTTACTCTGGTGAAGATTCTCAGTCATCCAGGTCATAGTCATCCCAAAAAAAGTAAAAAAAAGAACAATCCAATCAATTTTTCCATTCAAAAAGCTTCCTGGACGGGAAGCGAAATGTCTTCAAACTTGGGAACAGAGTCCAGTGGATTGTTTTTAACTTTTTTAACGTATTTGGAACCTTTTTTCCTCCAGCTACTGTTAAAGTAATGAATGCCAGTAAAAGAACTTAGCTGCTTTTGTTTGAAGTTTGGATCTCCGTTTAGTTTTTCTCTCTAGGCTTTATAAGTCTCCATTATAATCTATATCTGTTTTTCTTTTTAATCTGTACTGAAAGGTAGCAGTTGGTTTTTTTAAGTTGACTTACTTGTTAAAATGATTATTATAACGGAGCTGAATCTGTATAAATGCATCTACTTCCTACATTAGTGTTTTTTAATAATAGGCATTAGAGCTGTAAAGGCTGGGTTATGCTTGACACACAGAAAAAAGTTTTCAAAACCTTTTTATATCTTTGTGATTGCAATAATTTATCTCCAAGGGTTGTTTACAATCTGTTAATCGTAGCGATAGTTATGGACCAGATTATATGTTGTCTACAAACATTTGTATTTGTAAATGCTCACTAAAGTACCAGTGAGTACTACAGCGAGTAATGCCGAGGCTGACTCAGTCGGCCTCAGCAGATGGCCGCTCACACTGAGCCTGGTTCTGCTGGAAGTTTCTTCCTGTTAAAAGGGAGTTTTTCCTCTCTACTGTCGCTACAGGCATGCTTAGTGTGAGGGAATGCATTTAAGTCAATGAGTCGATGCAATCAACTGGTTTTCCTTAGATAGAAAACTTTGGATCAATCTGATTGGATGATCTGGTGAACTGTAAAGTGCCTTGAGATGACGTGTTATGAATTGGCGCTATAGAAATAAACTGAATTGAATTGAACTTGTAGGAGCTGTTTTCTACGCTGAAATGTCTGCATAGTTACAAATTTTCCCAGGTTTGAGGTGCAGAAAACTAGGTCTCACTGATGCTAAGCTTATGTAAGATGATATGGATGCCAGTAGCACAAAGTCTGTCAAAATAGTTTACAAGTCTGCGATCGATACGATGCAATAGCATTAATCAAATCATCTCAAAGAGATGGGATTTAATTTCTAACCTCTTGCAGGCACCTCATATTGGAATCAAAAACAGCATCTTCTAGTTATAAAAATAACTGTTATCACAGATTACCTGGTTAACACAAATTTCAAAATAAAGGTGTGTCTTAAGGATGATGACTAAGATGGATCAGTTATTGATGTAAATCGATCTGGTATCCCTTTTCCTATTAGCTGTAGGGTTTGTGTAGATGGGGCACAGCGTAATGGTGGCCCAAAAAAAGTTACCATTTGGGTCCTGATGGAGTTTCCTGTGATTTATTTGCATGCGCTGCAGTGAATCCCCCACTGCTGAGGTGACTAGTGAAGCTGAAGTTGGTATCTGAATTGATACTGATGAAGATTCTCAGTCATCCAGGTCATAGTCATTCCGTAAAAGTAAAAAAAAACAAAAAAACAATCCACTTTGGTTTCCAAGATTTGAAGACGTTTCGCTACCTCTCCAGGAAGCTTTCTCAATTCAAATGTCTGGATCCGAAGTGAGTTTGAGTCTTAATATAGGCAAGGCCTTGTATTGCTTGGAAACATGCAAATGGAAAACCGATGAGTGGGTCCTTTGGTTGCATTGTTAGCCTTTAATATCTCAAACCTGTCTATGATTCTGAAGGTCGGTCGTTAAAGGGGGGGGGATTGTCTCCTGTAATACCTGAAACCTGCCTATGATTGTTAAGGGTCGGTCGTTAAGGAGATATTTTTCACCGACTGGAGAGGGGAGGTACTTTGTTCCTCTGTGATGGGGTGGGGGGTGCGGTGATATCTGGAAGAGATCATCTCTATAACTGAGTTGTAAGTTTTTGGAAGCTGGAATCTGAGTCCACCACCTCTGTTTTAAGTTGTTTTTTCTCCCTTAACATAGATGGCTTCCTTCACGCCCCTGGTTTGAGGCGGTTTGAGAGCTCCAAGCTGAGTGACACAGCGGCCAGATTTTTTTAAGTTTGGACGCTGATTTTATTACAATGCCTAATAAAACAAAAGGCAGAAAAGGCATTGGGGCTTGTTTTGACTTGAAAAGCAGTAGTTCCACTATCTTTTATAGATTTGTTTGTTATTATAGGTGTAAAATTCTACATTTTGTTATATACACTGATTCTGAAGTGGAAAATACTTGCTTCATGAATGTTTTGTGGCCATCAAAATGCATTTGGCACATTTGGAGAGGTTTGGAGACGCTGGTGACACCAAAAGTTCAAAGCCCCACAGCTCTGGAACTGTTGTAGCTAGAGGTCTGACATTTTCTGCAGTTGTGGTTGACATGAAAATGAGACCAGCATTTTCTCAATTATGTCTTTATTACTGCTGTTCAAAAAAGACCTATCATGTCCGAGAATTAAAAAAAAACGTAATTCTGAGTCATGTTTGAACTGATGCAGCTTGGTCTGTGTTCTCGTCACCCAATTTAATTTATATATTCAGAAACTAGAGGGTGTTAGCTTTCAAATAATGTATGACATGTAATTTGGTCTTGCAGTTCCTAAGCTATTTGCTTCTCCATTTGGGTCTGCAAAATAGGCGATAATTTACCAAAATGAGGTTGATGTTAAGAGGTTAAAGGTCTACCTAGGAGGGTTTGGGGTCCTTCGATGGAGAGATGGGGTCCTATATGTATTTAGGCTTGGTGAAGACTGACTGAGCAGACAGCGCCCTCTCCTGTTCAGCTCTGTGTACTACCCACAAACCATAGATGATTTTTGCTCTAATCCAGTATGACATTTGGAGCAAATGTCTTAGCAAAGGTGTAACATGTAAAGCTGAATTTGTGACTCAGCAGATTTGAGCAGCTGTATTCCCTCATTTTTAGTTGCGTTAAGGACAAAACTATTATAATAAAAGAATGGGAAGATATCAATGCAAGCGTTTGATTTGTTTTGCACCATTCATTTTAGATCAGCTGGATCAAACTGAGAATACAGTCTTTTATGTGTGAATCACAAAGTAAAATTTATGCAGTTGTATTCAAGAATATGAAGAGGTGAAACTTTTTTGTAATTGTGAAAGAAAGCAAAACTCTACAATTACAAAACTAAAGGTTAAAATGCACAAACAGCTGTGCAACCATAGCTTTTAAACAACTGGAGAAAAACTGAGAATGCAAGAGGTTCTGGATTTAAAAATTCCCAGTTATAAGATGTGTAACTTTCCTTTGTAGGTGTAAAACTTAGGAAAAAAATCTACAATTACAAACCTATATTTTATATTTCTCTGCAACTTCAAATTCAGTTCCATTTAACAGTGGCAGTCCCATTTTCTGTCATGATAGATATTTACATGTTTTCACAATAGTTTTTTGTTTCTGCTTCACAATAAAAAGCAGAATTGAAGATATTTAGCACACAGAGATATTATTTTGGTTTTGGTTTCACTTGTTCTTATCGTGTCTTTCAGACCAGCCGTGGATCTGGAACATCCCCTACAGCCAGGAGCCGGACACCCACGGCAATATCTGGGTTCCCTCTTAGAAACACGCCTGTACCCAAACTGTTGGTACCTGATAGCCCCCTCTGTAGCCATTAGCTGAACATAAGCTATTTTTATACTCTACTCTAGACTCCCATTTTCACTAAATAAATAAATAAAATCATTTTTGGTCTGCCCTGCTCTGTTGATCACCTATCTTCCTGCAGATGTTGCAACAGGATTTGTGTTGAGAAGGGTATTTAATTTTAAATTTTTTTTTTATTTATTTTTTTTTTTTATAAATTGTTTTTTTTTCTGTTTTGTTTCATTTTTAAGACTGTTACAGTTTTTTATGTGATATAAATCCATAATAAGGAATGCGATCATAGTAGGGATGGATCCGGGTGAGGTAACAACTTCTCGCAGTCCAGGAAGTTCCACTCTTGTCCAGACTGTCAATGAAGTTGCAGCTTCATTCCGGATTCACAAGAATCTCTATCAAAACAAAATGCATAATCACCCAATTAAAGTAGTGAAAATGAAAGTGTACATGCAGACAGGTCACATGCAGATGTGTCAAGTAACGAAGTGCAAATACTTTGTTGCTGTACTTAAGTACACTTTTTAGGTATCTATACTTTACTCCATTACTTATTTTTCTTCCTACTTCTGACTTCTACTCATTACATTTTCACTAAAGTATCTGTACTTTCTATTCCTTATATTTTAAAACAAACGTTACTTGTTACTCTTGGCTTCGGTTTAATGTTTATAAATATTTATTTCACGTCATGTTTGCCATCTAATGCAGATCATTGGCTCCATCCGCATCTAGTGAAAACTAGTGTAATTGGATGAGTCATAGAACGCAACAACTCATTGGTTAGCTGAAGGAAATCATCAGAAGCAAGCAGGTGTTCTTCAAACTGTAAACGTGAATTGTCTATGCCATGCTACAATGTTTCATTATTCAGAAAAAGATGTTGAAATGTCTGAAAGGTCGGACACAGGTGAGAGCGTATTGGGAGATGGAGACCAACAAGACCTCCCTCATCCTTGGCCCTATCTCAAAGAATTTTTAGAAATAGTCGAAAAATTGAGTTTTCAATTCATAAAGTGGCATCTGGCTGTTTTTTTTTTAAAGGGTACTTTTTACTTTTAGTTTTTGGAGCACATACTTTTTCACTTTTACTGGAGTAAAGAGGTCAGGTTGATACTTCAACTTTTACCAGAGTGTTTTTAAACTGTGTATCTATACTTCTACTTAAGTAACAAAGGTGTGTACTTTTGACACCACTGCTCACATGGCCACATTACAGCTACTAGAAAACCAGATATGTAAAAGTATGGATACTTGTGTAAAAAACACTCTGCTGAAGTACAGATTAAACTCCTTTAATTAAGTAAAAGTAAAACATCTGCAGGTTCTTCATTGTACTTAAAAGGATATAAAATGTTCCAGGACTAATCCTATACATTTTTCCCTTACTGTGTTTGTAGAGGGAACATAAGAATTGCTGACTTGATTTATTTATTTTTTCTACATTAACATTTAAGATGGATAACTGGACAAAGGTCCTGCATGAGCAGCTGAAGACTTTTAGAGCTTTTGTATTGACATCATTAAAGCTCCAAAAGGTAATAAAATGAATAAGGAACTTAAGACATAATCACCATGTCCATTTAAAGAAGGAATGGAAGTGGAATCTCTTGCATCCCTGAATCTGATCTGTCATGTGATGTTTTCCAGCCGCCGTCTTTTTTTAATAAACAAACTGGGTTCCGCTCTAAGGTTTGGGAAAAACCAGGTTGGTTCAAGGCCCAGTTCCATCATCTCCTGCAGCCATCACCACTCATCTGTTATATTTCACCATCAGTAGATCAACACTGAGTCAAACTAGAAATCTATCATCTTCCCACACGTTTAATTGGTTAATGTGGGGGAACCAGGCTCCCATTAGAGTTGGTTCTTTATCAGGACATCGAGTGAAAACATGAAGATCCTCATGTGAGCAGAAGCTGATCTTAAATGTGCTAGCTGACTTTAAAAGAAAAAATGAACAAGAGTCCCCTGCTTTGCATGTGAGGTAATTTCTAACAAAAACCTGTTAATTGTCATAGCTGGAAAAATAAAAAAATATACATTTGTAAAGTATAACATAGCAAGCGAGGATCAAGTAATATTTTTATTTTTTGGTTTCTTATAAACCAAACTCTGATTTAACCCTTTAAAGGGAAAGTTAGCGTTTTTGATCACTGCATACCCCTTACAAATGGAGTCTCCCCCCCCCATCACCACCACCTTAGTGAGATCTAGAAGCTCCAGCCATGTAGCCCCTGCTACATGGCTGTACATCTTATTTTGGCATTTGACCAATTAGATGAGACCTTGATTGATATATTACCTACTGGAAAATAAGTTAGAAAAAAAAGGTAAAAAGCTAATTGAAAAAATTAAAAAGTAAAGTTAAAAAGTTAATAAGCCTAGTTAACGATTTAGGTTTATAAACAAAAAAATGTAAGTGCCAGTATCAGCATTAATACATCTAAGGTTATGTTGGACAAGAAAAGGGGTTCTTTCTGAGTGTTTTTCATGAATTTCTTATAGAAGCATTTTTGTTATTGTTCTTAATATATTCGGGCAAGTTGGCGTTTCTTGTTTTTTTTCACTGACATAAATTTTTACCATAAAAATATAATAAATATAAATTAATTTTAAAGTATTTCACTGAGCGCCCTACAAATTTAAAGTATTTATATTAAATATCACAGAAAAACGACTTGTTTCTTAAACCTTATTGCGATTAATCGGCCACTATCTTCTGGTAAGGCAAAAAAAAAAGCAACCCTTTGAACTACAATTCCCATCGGCCCTTGCGTCAGAGTGTCAACATGGCGTCTGTCTGCCGGACAAAAGGCGAATCTGTCTGACGGCGGATTGAAACCCAATTAGAAGAAGGGGGGAGACATTTTGGGGAAACTAACAGCCCCTGGATCTCTGCGCTCCGAGGAGGGAAATCTATGATCCAACTAACATCTGTGGAGGCTCTCAGACTGGAATAAGGTGAGTCTTTCTGCCCCAACAACTGCTGTCTTAACGGTCCTGCTGCTGCTGCTGCTGCTAGCTCCGATCTGTTTCCCTTTTTTTTTTTTTCATTCCTCGCAGTAAGACGATAACTGAAAAGTCCTTTAAAATCCCCACAGCCGATTGGCTTCCCCTCACTTAGTTAGTATTTCACCTCCCAAACGGCCTAAGCGAAATAAAAGCCAAGGTCTAGACTTATTGTTGGTAAATGTGCAGCTCTGTCCTCAGTCTTACATGGAGTCAACTTTTTCTAACCGGTGGTAAATGCTAATAACAGCCCAGATGTTGGTTTGATGCACAATTACATACAACTGCAGCTGTTCTATATGAGTTAAACAGGACTGTATTTTAATCTCATGGACATGTGAAATGATTTATTATAAATCACAGAACTTCTTAGCACTGCTTGTTTTTTTCTTGATGCACTTGAAGTTGTGAGTCCAGCCTTAAAGTTGATCTTTGGCTCCACATGTGTGCAGGAGATCAGGCTCCATGCCACGTCTGGTTAGGATGGTCAGTTCACTGGGTTCAGCCACTGCTCTGCAGTTATTCTTTAACAAGTTTATTCTTTCCTTTGGAGGAGGGATCCGCTCCACATGTCCTTCAGTTATTCTTGGAGAAATGAACCCGATATCCAGATTTCCTTTACAGTCTGATAGAGAAGCTGCTGGAAGATGAGGTCTGAGTGTTTTTAATGCCTGAGTAAGAATGGAAAGGTTTGATGAAGGGAGGAGAGCAAACCTGGTTCCAGTTTGTTTTCCATCCGTCCGTCCGTCCGTCCATCCATCCATCGACTCATCTATTGACCCATCGACCCATCCATCCATCGACCCATCCATCCGTCGACCCATCCATCCGTCGACCCATCCATCGACCCATCCATCGACCCATCCATCGACCCATCCATCGACCCATCCATCCATCGACCATCCATCCATCGACCCATCCATCCGTCGACCCATCCATCGACCCATACATCGACCCATCCATCCATCCATCCATCCATCCATCCATCCATCCATCCATCCATCCATCCATCCATCCATCCATCCATCCATCGACCATTCCATCCATCCATCCATCGACCCATCCATCCATTCATCCATCTATCCATCCATCCATCGACCCATCTATCCATCCATCCATCCATTGACCCGTCCGTCCGTCCAGGCATCGATAATAAATGTGCAGGACTTCTTTATTGTTGTCTAATCCTCTTTAGGCATGTATCAGACTGAGGTCAACCTCATTAACTAGAATCTTTTAAATCCCCATCTCCTAAGCCACTTGCTTGTCATTTGAAATACCAGATTTTGAGCTGTTTGGTGCAAACATCCTTCTGCCAGTGCATGCACTTTCATGTAATCCCCACACTGCTTTGGAGACACTTTATAAGAAGCTCCCAGCATCTTGTCAGCGTTATAGGATTGACCCTCTTTTTCTCTACTCGCTTTGCATCTAAGCTTCCCAGTTTGTTTCACTCTGAAGTTTTTTGCCGTTTCATATTGCTCATAGGCTCATTTTGATGCAAACATCTGTTTAAAGAAAGATGACAAACATTATGATGAACTGTATCTTTCAAGCCACAAAGCCACATGTGGTTTTCAAGAATCAACCTCAGAAGAGACTTTGATTAGAGCAGAACAAACAGGAAAAAGTATTTTATTCCTTAGTTTTTTTTTGGTTAATATTTGATCGCATTTCAACAATATGTTTTTGTTTAGATTTTATGCCTTTGACACAAAGTTGCGCTTAAATTTGAAGAGGAATAAAAAGCATAGATAGTTTAATTTTCTTTTCACAAGGTAAAATCCTAAAAGTGTGGCGTGCATTTGGAGCTTCTGGAATTGCCCGTCTTTGGAAGAACTGTTTGCAGATTAAAGATTCACAAAGATTCTCATATATAACAGAGCCATTCTAACAGGATTTAATTCAATCTAAACCACTCTGCTCTAACTTTGGCTTTGGGTGTGCTGTTGCCATGCCGATGGACAGTGGACACCTCTTTTTTATTCTAGAAATCTTCTGTATTTAGCTCCAGTAGCTTATCTTCCATTCAACTCTGACTGGCATCACCACAGCATAATGCTGCCACCACCATGTT